GAACTGTAAAGATGTGGGATGTCAGAACTGACACTTGCGTGGCAACTGTTGGTCGTTGCTCTAGTGCTGTTTTATGTATGGAATATGATGAGATTACAGGAATCTTAGCAGCTGGTGGTAGAGATGCGTATGTATATCGACACTGATGATTAAGCATGCTCATAAAATTATGAATTAAAAGTTTATCCAATGAATTCCTAGAGATTAATCCCTTGAGTTTTTGCATTATCAGCGTTGCAAACATCTGGGATATTCATGCGGGCAAGACAATGCACAAGCTTGTAGGGCACACTAAATGGATTCGGTAAGCTAAAGTAGCATAACTTTTCCAGATTATGTGTTAATATTGTTGATTCTTGAGTAGCAATGTATTTTATACGTCAACCTTGCAGGTCGATTAGAATGGTGGGGGACACAGTTGTTACTGGTAGTGATGACTGGACCGCAAGAATGTGGTCTGTTTCCTGAGGAACATGTGATGCGGTTCTAGCATGCCACGCTGGCCCCATATTAAGCGTTGAGTATTCCACACTTGACAGAGGAATAGTTACAGGTTGGCATTTTACATCCTGTTCTGTTTGCATTGTTATTTCCCTAGATTGCTCCAAAGATTTTTGGTTGCAATGCTTTTACTCGTGCCAATAGGAGCTACTGGAATTATACCATGTGATTTCTGTTCCAGGTTCAACTGATGGGCTACTCCTCTTTTGGGAAAATGTTGAGGGTAAGAGCATTTAATCTTTGGACTCAGAATTTTCATTCATTCTTTCATGTTCAGCTATATTATTGAAAAAGTTCAAGGGAATACAAAACGGTGTAGGTTGGATTCTATAAGAACGTAAATTTAATCACATAATTATGTCAGAGTTTGTAGAAGCGATTAAGTTTCCCTTCGAATTACTGTCAGATTGAGATGCATATGTTCCAATTAAAAGTAAAGCCTTTTTCAATGCTACTGTTGCTTGTTTGCAGGAGGTATAAAATGCGTAAAAAAATGTTAATGTCCACAATTCCACAATGCTGCTGTATTGTCCATCAATGCTACGGAACACTGGTTAGGAATTGGAGCAGCTGATAATTCCATGTCTCTTTTTCATCGTCCTCAAGAGAGACTTGGTAGCTTCTCTGGCACGGGATCAAAAATGGCCGGGTGGCAACTATATCGAACACCACAAAGAACAGTTGCTGTGGTATGAATTTCTGACTTTCCCTGCACTGGGCCATTTTATTCCTGCAAGCAAACATCCCTTTCTTTTTCGGTTTTACCTTTACTTGTGCATGTAGTGCGTATCATCGTAAATGATTGGGTAAGAGGTCTCGATGATTTATTGTCGATGGCTATTGCATCCCCAGTTTTAATCCCTTTCTTGTGCTATCCAGGTAAGATGTATTGCTCCGGACCTCGAGCGGAAAAGGATATGCAGTGGCGGTCGTAATGGACTTCCTAGGCTTTGGGAAGCCAACATCTGAGTTCTTTGTGCATTTGTGTATTTACGCCAAATATTAAATTTCATAGGTTTTGTTTTTCCAAAAAAAAAAAGAAAAGAAAATGAGAACAGTACTTTTGCAGTTGCTATACGTTGTACCTACCTACGTATATTCTGAGCTGTAAAATTTACTTGTTCAAGCTAAATACAAAAACGAAGGAGAAGTTGGGGGTGTTTTGCTGTTGCCCCATTTCTACATTATTATACAAAATAGTATTTCTTGCTCGATGCTGTGCGCTTGCAAGTTTGCTTGGTTTGGTACTTTTTAAGTCGCATTTCCAGCACTAAATTACTGTTGAGTAGTACTTTTGTTAGGGACGTTGCATGCGCTTCTAAGTAATTGATCTAATCCTTATATAGCCAATTAGTTCTATGGTGGAATCCTTGCTTTTTTCATGGACAGAGCCAGTTGTCCCTTATGCAATGTCAAACGGCCACACCTGCAGCACATTAACTTATTTGTGTTGTCCACGTATTAGGCTCGAAAATTCGCCACATGTGAGGGTGTGTTGAAAGTATGGTTCCACATCCGAAAAAGAAGAGAGCTTGCTTGTGCTTATAAATAATTGGACTACTCTTCATATTGTCAATTGGTTTTATGGTGGAACCTCAACTTTTTTCAATTATGATGTCCTGTTGATTTTGCCGGAGATTGGATTGTGGTGGAGTAGTTGTGTGAAATTTGTCCCTTCGTACAAAATTTTCCTTCACATCGATCGGTATATACATTGATGATCCATCCCTCTTCGCCACCCCTCTATAGGCAAGTCAAACAGGAAACTGAACCATATTTTTCATCGGTGGATCAAAAATCACGATGAGCATGAGGCACGATCGATGAGGCCGTACTTCGTGTTTTGGTCAATAGCCCGTCATTCTTTGGGTCGTTGGCGGACTCATAGCAGCTTGCCGCTTTTGCTGCATCCTCTGAATTTGCTCCAAGTTTCCTACCCATCCTACAACATACAAAAATTTCAGATATGAAACACCTGATTTCAATCCGTTTGCTTTTAGAATCTCATTTTCGTATACTAGAGAAGTTTAGAATATTGCTTCGTAAATATGTTGAATTCTGGTACCTAAAGTAGGGTCTAGGCCTCTGAGCTGGAGCTCCCTATGTTCTTGGCAGAGAGCACACCACTCGCATAAGAAGTGAGTGATGCAATCCGGAGCGGGGCTTTCAGGGCAGGTCGAACTTGTTCCTTAGCTTTTTCCGGTATGTGCACGATAGCAAGCATGGCACAAAGATGCACAGCATGATCAACATGTAAATCAGTGCATTGGCTGCACAAGCTGTACGAATGACAACATAAACACCACGCCAGCAGTTAATCAGACCAGTATTCTAGACGTTAGTATTGCTAATTACCAAAGTTGAACATTGATTCCGTCGACTTACAGCTTCGACCATTATTGACGATCTCTGCAATCTGACCGAACGTCCAGCATGGGCACAATAGCGTCATGATAGCTGAAATAATCAAAATAAGAAATATTAGTAATAGTGTCAAAATTTCAAATAGAAGGGCCAACAGACCACGATTAACCACACCCGTACTGTCTCCAAACTTTCATCTCACCTCGTTGTAAGTAGAATTGGAACCATTCAATATAATTTATATATAGTTTATATTCTTCAAACAATTAGTAGGAACTAAATGAAGATGAAATAAATTGGGACTTGGGAGTACCATTTGGGGGATCCTCCATGCACTCGAAGAGCCCCGTTTTCCAAGTTCCATCGATGCCTGGCAGAGGCAGCAGCACTGGTACGTATTCAATGTTTTGGATGGGTACTCCTGTTTCAGCAAAATGACTGTTACAATGCAACGCCGGCAGGAGTTGATTTCTTGCGGTAGAAGCATGATTATAATACTGCAGCTGCAGCTGCTGATGAGGAACAATTTGGTAGGCAGCCGGAGGAGGGAAAAGCACTTGGTGTGAACTATAATAAATTGCATCAGCAGAAGCATCTCGATGGTGACGATGATGATAATGATGAAATGCATCGGCTGAAGCAGCTCGGTGGTGATGAGGAGGAGGATAATATGTACGTGAAGGCGCGTGCGCGTTGTAATTATGGTGAGGCCAATTGTTAATCTGCTGGTGCAAGATGAGATCAGCACTATTGAGGTTTGAGGGTGGCATCTGTACTACATGTAATGGTCGGGCTTGTTGATGATGATCGTGATCGTGGTCATGATATTCCTGATGATCAAAGCGTGATGTCCCGGCATTTTCGTGGGAAGAGGAAGAGGGGTTAGCCTGATGATTATCGGCGTCGGGATCAGGACTAGGTCGTATGTTAACAATGTTGACGTGGGAATTTATATTAGGGTTATTTGGAGGGGGAGATTGTTGAGGTTGGTGGTGATGGTGGTGGAGTTTTTGTACATGTACATGTAGTGCCGCTAATTTTGACGTTTGAGGGTGGAATACCAGCGGCGTCGCCTGATTTGGTTGATCTTCCATTTGATCGTTTTGTGCTTGAGGACTTCCTATATATGAGATCAACCTAGGGCGTCCCTTTGTCCGGGAAGAGAGGTTTGACCATCAATGGTACCCAATGGACAAAACAATTTCGACAAGTACTCTTTTATATACAGACGAGAAAACTGAGGACAACCTATCACTTTACTATTCTATCCATGCACGCACACATTATCAACACGGTTGACAGCAAAGAAGCATTGACTCCAGCTAAGCTGGTGTCTAAAAATACATAATTGTCTGAGATAATGAAAATTATAAAACCCAAAATTACCTTTTGTTCTAATTTGAATGGAGAGAAAATTAAACTCATATGGAAGGGATGATCATATTGCTTTGATTAATTGGTCTAATTCATGTATGCATCTTTTATATAAAAGATTTCATTTGGATAATTTTATACATCATTGACACATAATGTTGTCGTACTTTATCAATTACAAGTAATTATTTATTTAACCTAATGAAATTACCAACTTGTATAAAGATGAATATGTCAACTTACCACTAGACTTAGCTTGCGGCTGCACACGTTGCATTCAAATCTTAATAATATTCCCAAATACGAGTGGTGATTCTGGTTGAATTTTTGTGTGCCTGGAATCAGACAGGTTTAGAAATTCGGACCGTTCAAGAGAGAGAGAATTCTGAGCCATTCAAGGGCTTAGTTTTGTGTGGAATTGGTCGTGGAATAGGCTAATGGGAGCTACAAAAGTTAAATTAAGTGGCCCGAATTTCCGAGTTTGTCAACTCCAAACACAAATCTGGAATTCCCTAAATAAACGACTCCAGCAACCATCAAAACAAAAAGCCGTTCTTTTGAATTTTCAATACATGAAAATGGAAAATCGTCCAATATTACAGCAGTAAGGAAGCGATACATATTCATAGTATCCACAATTATCAATATACGAAAGTAAACATAACACGGAAGGAAAAGAAAATGTCTTGAGGCATGCAAAAGTAAACGCAAGTAGAAGTCTGCAAATGGTTGAGATAGTTCACAAACATTAATTTGTTTGAATCAATATTGACTCATATTTTGGTTCATTGGAGGCATCATCATATTAACCCTCGGCTGCTGCAAGCTGGGATTCCTTTGCACATTTCCTATCCATCCGATTGAAGGATCAATCCCTCTGACTTGAAGTTCCCTGTACTCTTGGCAAAGAGCGCAGGGTTCTCAGAATAAATGGGTGATCCAATCGGGTGCAGAGGACTCGATTAGGTTGTATTTGCTGCGCAGCTTTGTGCGATATGTGCATGACATTATGAATGGTATCCCAATGAACGCTGCAATCAATCCGTAGAACAATCCGCTGGTCTCACATGCTACACCGTAATATGGATATATACATCAATATCGCAAGCACAATTCCGGTTAGTTCTCACTTCAAGTCAAATCTTGTAACAAGATATGAAGTTTGAATATTAGATGTATGTTTTGGAATTTAACTTACAGGATGTGCCGTTATCCACAACCTCTGCTATCTGGCCAAACGTCAAGCATGGAACGAAAGCCGTTGTGAGAACTGAAATGTCATAGTAATGTTTTTAATAAATCTGCATTCATAGTTTTATAAATATGAAAACTAGCTACACATTGGATGTGGAAGGAGAAATAAATAAGGGTGTGACTGTTTTTGAGTTCAGAGTGCTTTGGACAATAAAACAGTTTTGAAGCATTTGGAAAAATAAAGTTAAAATTTCTTTTGTGTTATGAAAGCACTTTCACTTTCTGGAGAACATTAGGGAAGCACTTGAAAAAACTTCAATTTTTAGTAACGTGCGTGTTTCTAATAAAGTATTTTCTACAAATTAAAGCAGTCACAAACAAGCCCTAAGATATGTATGTATGTATGTACGTAAGTACGTACCATTCATTGGATCATCCATGCAATCAAATAACTCAGAACTCCAGGGCTCAGTGCCAATATTCTGCTGGTAAGGACTCGGCTGCATTGGATGTTGATTCTGTGTGGAAAATTGCACTGCCGGCTTCTGATATTGTTGATTATAATTCGTTGTAGATTTGGGAGGCTATAGTGCTGGAGACTGGGGAGGAAATTGTGCTGGAGGTCGTTGGTTCCCCATGCCCATTGGTTGTGGTCCTTGTGGAGGGTAGGCCGCCCCAGGTTGGTTTGGCACATTTGCATACATGGGATTGGGGTTTCGATTGGTTTGCATATTATTCTGGGGTTGGGGTGGAAACTGTGCAGGCCTAGGCTGCTGATAGTTTGCTTGTTGGTGGAATTGTGGGTTTTGTGGTGGGAACTGTTGCGGGCTTTGAGGAGGGAATTGCGCTGGCTGAGGCGTTGGAGTCTGGTAGGGGTTTTGTTGTGGAGGACCTTGTGGTGGTGGGAACCCTACCGGCTGAGGCTGAGATGGCGGTAGTTGCTGGAGGACTCCTTCTTGTGATTGTGGTTGTGGTTGTGCTTGGGGGTCATAATTATTTTGAGGTGCACTGGGTGGCGGTTGTGGTGGTGGTTGGTATTGATCTTGTTGGTTTTGGTTTTGGCTGGTGGTTTCAGGCACTTGTTGGTATTGAAATTGTTGATCAGCTTGCGACTCATACTCCAACTCCACCTCCACCTGAGGTTGGTAGGGTTCATAATCACCCTCGTACGCAGACGACTCTCCTTCTGGATTTCCCATTAGCCTAGCTAGCTACTTTCCTCCCTAATTTTCTTTTTGATGGGATCTCAGAGAAATAGAGATATATAGAGACAGGGAGATGCGGATGAAAACAATAGTTGCATGCTATTGTTTCGGCCCAAAATAACATTGTTAAGCCGAGTATAGGTTTGTGCTCGGCCCAAAGCCGTGTCAAAAATACTATGGGCTGTCTGCTGATTCCAGACCATTCAGCAAGGATGGTCGAGTCCCATCACAAGAAGGAGTAGTTCAGATAAGCAAAGGGGTCGAGGAAGTCCAAGTGCAATTAGGATTCTCGACCAACAATGAATAAAGCCCCAAAAATGGGTGAGTTCAAAGTCCTAATGGGAGTAGGGGTGTTCAAAGCAAAGTTGGAACAAAACAAGAACTCCCAATCCAGATATGAGTTTAATTCGATCTCAAGAAGGAGTTGGTGCTATAAATATAAGACATCGTGCAATGATTTGGGACCTTGAATTCAACACACAATTGCCTTGTGCAAAACCTCTAAAACATCTTGAGATTTTTTATTTTCTTTTTCTCGCCGACATATCTTCAGTTTGGATAAACAGTACTATGAAGGCAACCGGCGAACACCTTCAGTTTGGATAAACAGCACTGTTGCCGTAGAATCAGCTGACCGAGGAACACCTTCAATTTGGATAAACAGAACTACGTCGAGGTCGACTGGTTACCTATCCAAGTCTCGATCGAGAAGGGTTTTCGAATCCTTATCGGCAGAGGTCATCTTATTAGTTTTTTCGGTGAAGTAAGGTGTTACGAGTTACGACATTCGGCGTATTGGATGCCGAGTGATTTTATGATTGGGTACTCACAAGTGAGTTTCAAAGTTCGGCATTCTGACGACCGAACCACCTTCACCATTAAGACGTACATCACCTTTGAATACTTGTGTCCGTATAGTCTGGTGTTAATTCGATGTGCTTATACTCTTACGAATATAATCACTGTGATCGAATCGGGCACCGACGATTTGTGAACTTTGCAGAACTAGCAACCTTGTCTTCATGCTCGAGAATCCAAAGGCAGAGATTTGTTCCTTCCTCGGCCGCAGTCGTAAGATAAAGAAGTCAGCAACGCGCTCAACGAAACATCAACAAATTTTACTCCTTAGTCGAGCTCGGCCGACGAGTTGGCACGCCCCGCATTCAACCGAAGGACGTAGTTAGCTTATTAGTTACTCGGCCTGCGCGCCACGTAGGCTTTGTAATTTTTAGGGTCTACAGCTGTACATTAATATATATATATATATATATACGAGTATATACACACACATATATGCCACTCCAACTAATGAAAGGAACATGTTATGCAATTGAGGAAGCTTTTTACTAATTAACAAAACGCTACTTGTGGGATTTCTATCAGGATATATATCAAAGTCATATATACAAATGGCTATTTAATAAACTATTGAAAGTCAATGATCTTACGAGAAAAAAGAAATACCTAACAAAACAAATAATCTTAACATCGATGTCCAACTTACTCGCATGTATACAGTACAACTCCTCAATGTAAGTTTACTTAGTCAAATTTCTAATAGGAGACTTTCGTCCGCAGATACCTTCTTTACGTGAGAGAGGGGATAGATTATATGGATTTGTTCAATTAACTTCAATACTTATCGTGGGAAAGTCGTGGTGCTCACTGTCTAGTGTCTGGTGGATAATAATGCCGTGCATGGAATTGCAGAAGAGTTTACATTGACCAGAATGTCATTAGATTCTTACAAAATGCAAAAAAAAATGCTGGCAGCTAGCGCAATGTGTCTGCAAATTGCAACAGATTTTGGTTGCTAGTGGAGGAGCCGCCCTTTTTAGCTTTGGAATTGAGGGATCAGGATCCTCTCCTAATCTAAGGATGAGGAACTTCATGATCAAGGGATGTGGATCGTTAGATGAAAATCCAACGGTTATAATTATTATAACTTTAAAGGGATTCCCTGTTTGTAACCGTTGGATTTTCATCTAACAGTCCACATCCTTTGGTCATGAGGATCCTCATCCTTAGATTAGGAGAGAATCCTGGTCCGGAATTGAGAGCTTGACCCACCAAACTATAATCTCGAGCGAAGACCATAAGTAGGCTGACCTTAATAGTGGTTTATATATTCGTTGAGCACATGGACTCTTCAACCGCACGAAACATCCTAAATAAAATCAATGGGAAAATCATATTGCTTCAATAGAACCTTGTTAACTAGTTGAATGCTTCAATTAATATGTATATAATATAATTATATATATGCAGAATTTTTTAAGAGGGATTCCACTTCACTGTAAATGGAGAGGGATACTCGACAACATATCTGTTTGGGCCCGACTTTACATAATCAGTTCGATATTGGATGGACAAAATATTTGAATCGCTCCTAGGATAAAGATGTTTTTATTAAATTTCACGATAATTATTCTGATTAAAGATATCCAGTTATTATCTATCAGAGTAGTTATCTTGGAGTTTAATTAAATCAACAAATAGATTTTTTTTATCCAAACAAGATTGTGGTTAGATTCCATCTTGTCATATGGCCTTCATGCATGGTTACAGCCGAATATATCAGCATGGGGTTTGATTAGAGTTGTTGGATGCATGGTCTTCATGCATGCATAGGTAACTTGCAGGTGGGATAAGTTCCAGTAGCAAATTGGATAGGTGTCTGCAACGTGTGGGGCGTATAGGCATTGAGAAAAACAAGGTGATTGTTTTGGATGTGAAAAGAACGTGTGTGGGCATCCAATAAATTCAATGATAGGGTAAAGATAAGTCAAAGTTGGAATAAAATAGGATTAGAATGCAGAGTCCTTATTTGACATCCAGATTTGCATGTGGTCATCCTTTTATTTCTCAGAATATTCCGGTACAAAGTCTTTAGGTGTAATTGAAATGCTCTGCTTGTCGTCCAGGTCGTGCCAAGCAAGTATATCAGCCTTATAAATACAGAGGCAGTGACAACGAGAAAGGGACCTCCAATTCAACACACAACTGGCCCTGCTCAACCCTCTCAAACATCTTGAGATTTTTTATTTTCTTTTTCCGCCAACACATCTTCAGTTTGGATAAACAGCACTGTGAAGGCAACCGTGGCGAACCTCTTCAGTTTGGATAAACAGCATTGTTGACGTAGAATCAACCGACCAAAGAGAACCTTCAGTTTGGATAAACAGCACTGCGTCGAGGTCGACTAGTTATCTATCCAAGTCTCGGTCAAGAAGGATTTTCGAATCCTTATTGGCAAAGGTCATCTCATTAGCCTTCTTGGCGAAGTGAGGTGTTACCAAGTTACTACATTCGGCACCCTGAGAGCCGAATTTGATATTGAACTTCGCTAAACTAGCAGCCTTATCTTTAGGCTCGAGAACCAAAAGGCCGAGATTTGTTCCTTCCTCGGCTGCAATCTCAAGATTAAGAAGTCAGCAGCGCACTCAACACAACATCAACAAATTTTACTCCTCGGCTGACGAGTTGGCACGCTCCGCATTCAACTGAAGAACGCAGTTAGCTTATTAGTTATTCGGCCTGTGCGTCACGTAGGTTTTATAATTTTTAGAGTCAACAAACTTATAGTTGTAAGGTTTTTTTTATTTTTATTTTATTTTTAATGGAGTATCCCCTTTTGACCTCAAAGAAAAATCAATGAACAAAGTTAACCAGAGGAATGCAAAAGGTCAAAAGGAAAGTGAAATCGTAAGATAGTATGGATAAGAGTGATACAAAGAGTGAACAATTCTGTATACAGTATAAAAATTTCCTCTCTACCACTGAAGATAGCGTTCACACTTTTTTCCCCATTGCTTCTATGAGTTGGCCACTTGAACATCTTTTAGTACAAGTATATACCATGTCGTTATAAGACATGCAAGTGGTTTGATAGAGAAGTCTTGGATATTAATTTAATCCGCGCAATTTGTGATGGAAATGAGGTAATTAAAAACTGCAATTGGCGTTATATTTTTCATTTCATTCATGCAAAATTTATGGAATTCTCTACAAGTCCTGGCTGTGATTACAGATATCTAAGACGAATACTGCGGTTGCAGATTGTTATTCTTTTCAGTTAGGATAATTTATATGTCCACATGGTCAGTTTTCTGTCCTGGAAATATAGTAGATTCGTATGTTTTGTGACTTACATTTTATATTCAATATTCTAAAAAGAGGGAAGACTTTTGATTAACAATATAATCAATTTACTTCTTAGTTCCTTGACTAGGTCGAGAAGATAATTTCCCAATATTATTAGGATCATTTGACTGTGTTTTCCATAGGAAGCAATGCTGAAAGATGGCTTAGCGGCTCACTACTAATTAATTATAAACAACGATATTGTCTCCAACTTAATCATTTACAAAAAGTTTTGATGCAATTAATGGTAGAACCACTCATTATATGTGTTGTATTTTAGATTGTCATACCGCGGAGATTTCTGACGTTTTAAACACGTACTTGTGCTATCCAACAAACAATATGGAGAAAAGTAATCCAGATTTGTATTTTGAAAAGGTCAATAATATTAGTACGTCGACTATTTCTATGAACTTGCTTAATCATTGACCTAAGCAAATTACGTATGCTGCGTTATTCAACCACTAATAACTTCCTAGGTTGAGCAATTTTCTATATAAGAACTAAACTCATCCTTGCAGAAGGCCACCCCTCTCAACTCATTTCACACTTGGGCCTTCTTGTTTCCTTTAGTTTAAACAAAAAGATCAAAATGCATCCTAATTACAACAGTGATCCTAACCAAGCTCCACAAGGAGGAGCACATGGTTATCAGCAGGCGGTGCCTCCACAGGCGGTGCCTCCACAGGCAGCAACTTACGGCTACCAACAACAGGGACCGCCACAATGGACAACAGGTCTTTGTGGTTGCTTTGAAGATCCTGGCAGTTGTAAGTCCCAATAATTAATTGACCCTTTTATCTATAATGTCATCTCTGCTAATATGTTAGGAATCTCAAGTTAATTCTTATTGATTTAATTAATTTTTCCATGTTATTATGATTGTGATTAATTAGGCATGATGACATGG